AATAATTTATGAAAAAATGTGCAAATAAGGTATTACTGAATATGTAATTATGTTTAATTTCATATATTTTTCACACAATTACTACACAATTATACACAATTTGAAGTAACAAGTAAATTTCGACAAACACTGATTTCTAACGAAAAACACGAAATTAATATAATATATTATACGTAGGTATTACAACTAAAAAGTTAATTGAACCGTTCATTATTATGAATTAGTCCAAATATAGACGGTAAGAAAATAAAGTAATTGTACAAATAATAATTCCTTCAAATATACAGTACGTCTATAAGCTAAAATTTGTTGTTAAATGTAATACTGATTATTGAAAAATATCATCCTGACACACGTATTCTACAGAGGCGGGTGCGAACAAATTATAAACGGAAACTGAAAATGTTGTCCCCATATTCGACTTATTAGACACAACTTTTTATGTGTTAATGTGCTGCAATGTGAATATTCGTATCATCTTTTAAGCAATTGTTGTTAAAATCGGAAAATGCAACATCACCATCAACAAAAGACCGACTGTTGCAATTTGAGCAGAGACAGCACCTAGAAAAAACAAATAATTTTATTCTAATTGTGTTGTAGAAACGTACAAATATGCGTGTGTAAATGTCTGCATGCAAACAAGGAGTGAGAGTCCTGAACGGTAAATATAGACTTTAACATTGAAAATTGCACGAATTTTTCTATTATTTGAAATTCACTATTACTATCTGAGTGTTCTCTATTCAACACGCAAACACTGTTGCATTTAAAAGGCCGTAAACATACGGAAATATTGCCAATAAACGTTTCAAACCGAATATTGACCATGCAATGTAAAAATAATACGGCCAATATTTGTTTTTAAAAGATACGGGTACTAAAGTTCATTTGATTTACCTTTGGGATTATTTTACTTTTATTTTCAAAGTCAGACTCATTGAACTTTCAATGAACGAAGTCATTAGGGGCGCAACAAGGGTGGGGGGGGGGGGGGGGGCACGGGTGCCTGAGTTCGATTGGGTTGGGCACCCAATCAATTCCAACTTGAAAGTTCGGTTCAAATAGTCCAAACTCGTAAATAAGCAACCGAACTCGATCTTTTCAGCTTAAACACACCCGCACTATATAAATAAACAAACAAAGGTAATCTAAAATATTATAATAATTGCTATTCAGTGATGGGAGCACCCAGTCAAACTGTAACGTTGTTACGCCCTTGGAAGTCATCCATTTTACCGAACAGTAGTTTAATTACTTTTTGTCAAATTAAACACTACCTAAAAGTCAGTTTTTAAATCTAAATCAAAAAAAAAAATAAATAAAATGCATACAACACTTATTAACATATGCACATTATCAACACGAGATTCATTTTCATAGGAAGTTCACCTAGTAAAGTTTATTGTGGAAAATTAGGGCGAGTAAGTTTCATTATTACCCGTAGTATGTCATTAGAATATGTCTATACATACATAGATATTTGAACCCTACGACTTTTTTCAATTTGTTTGGTTCCACCTAGTATGCATGAAAATTGACGATTTTCAATTAAAATCCTTGATATTGGAAATAGGCTTAAGCAACCCTTTCACCTGGTTATATTTATTTGCAAGGAAGAATTCAACAAAATCCTGACATTTTACGCGCATTCAGATAAACTTACGGTAGATCATTATGATTATGATACGAAAATGTGTAAATACTAACCGCTACAGTACCCATGTGGTGTTACAATGAAACCCTCGTTACATTTGCAGACTTTTATGTTACTGTTTCCTTCTTCCTCGAGACATGTTGCATCTTCTACACAATCGTCTGAACACAAATGTCCAGCCCCTAAAAATCACACACAGAATGTTAAACAAACACTTAATCATTTATTTGGTCACGCTTGTAAAGTATCTTGAGTAAAATTATTATTTCAATCAGCACGTACTAAATTGAAATAAGTTCGTACTATTCACAAAAAGTACCTGTATTTTGAAACACATTGAAATTCATGATGGTTAATATTAATTATTAATTTGAAAATTCATTCTCAACAGCAACAAAATTTTCCTCATTAATTTGAGGTAACCTATAGTGGTTAAAATAGAAAATGAATTAATTCAAATTAATATTTAATATTAACCACTAGGAATTTCAATGTTTCAAATAGTATTGGATATAANCCTCATTAATTTGAATTAATTAATTACCTCTATTTTGTTATTTGATCACTTTTAATGTGTTATAGGTACAGTCAAACATTTTCATAGTTTAATTGTTTGATTTAAATGTTAAGTGCAGGTTTTTTATCCATATATTTAAAGTACTACTAGAATTCAAGTATTTCCAATTCAACGTAAATTATAAGATGTTAACCATGCATCAATAAAATGCGGTTTTATAGAAGGTGAATTGTTGCGTTTCAAAAGCACATTAGAATAGTTCGCCAAAGTTGGGACTCATGAGTTTACAAGGTATTAAGGTATATTTAATATTATCGTTGTTTTAGTAGAAAATTAGTCTAGTACTTAATCAAATTTTCATTGCGTATTTACTAGGTAAGCTAAAATGTGAAATGTTCTTGTATAAATTAATGAAATAATCAATCAAAACTTATTAGAGTAGATAGCTGTCGCAACTGTTTAGTTCTACCTCAAATTACTTAATAATGTAGGTAAAAATTTTACAAAACCCGAGTTCCCTAAAACTTAAATTTAATACATCTTTTACTCCTTTCCTACAGTCTTTAAAGGAAAAATATAACATTTGATTATTTTTTACACGAAAAACTGAGCTGCAAACAAGCAAACCTATATTTATAGTGATATAAAAATATCAAGATCCTGCAAATCTGATAAATACAATAATTACACGCACAAAATGTATTTGAATAAAATTATGTAATATTTTGTTCTTGTATAAAATGCAAAAAGTTCGTAGTTCTAATCTATAATTTATGCGTACCTATGCGAATTGTATTTTCTTTTGTGTCTGTCTTTCTCTGCAACATATGCGTAAATCTCATCGAGTTAAGAAACCTATTCGCTAGGCAGGGATTGTGTTAAACTTGTGTTAATTTATCAGGAATAAGAAAAGGTCAGTTTTTATCACGCAAGCCACGGAGCGTTTTGTATATAGTAAGCCTTGACATGAAGTATTAATCAGAATACAAACAGAAACCAGAAAATCCAATATACATTTTACTTTTCCAACTTTTTCTTTTAATCAAGTTAGCACCTCATACACCGGCTTTGTTAACTCATTCCTAATTTATTGAAATCAAATTTAACTTTCTCATTTCAATTTAAATAAACTATAAATTCCCAAGGCTGTACGCATCTTGTTATATACGTATATTGAAAATTCGTAAAATTAATGAAATATGCCAATCATATTTTCAGACAATAGGGTTAATAAAACTGATACGAAAATCGAAGTTACTGTATCCTAAATAGATCAACATATACCTTAAGTAAATGTTTATAAGAAACAGAAGTCCTTCAAGCTCATTTTAAATGCTTTTATTGCAATATTAAAACTATTGGAGGAATTCTGATTTACAAACGTGAATGAAAATGATAATGAAATATTTAAATATGTTAAGTTTTTATTACCTTTTCGTGTAGTTTGACATAAGCCATTAGTAGGTGCAGTATTATCTCCACACAAGCAATATTTTTTTGAAGGGTCTCTAATATCTGCTATACAGCTTGTTTGGGGTATTGGTTTGCATTGGGTATGATTTATGCACGATTTGGCTGAAACTGAGGACATAAAAGACTAATCCAAAAATTATTTCTGAAGAAATTACGATAAGCCGACTTATTGTCTATACCACATAACTAAACACGACTATCGCTTAGAAAGTACAAGTTTCAAGAAAACAGAAGCTCTTTTTAAAATACGGCTATAACGCACGCTTGGTTTTAACGGAAGAATCTATACTTGGATATAGCAAACGATCGGCTTTAGCAAACGTTTTCAGCAGGTCCGATCGGTTATAATAAACCAATATTTTATTGTTTTGAAACAAACCAAATACTTGAGATTTGTTTAGGTGTTTGAAAGTAGCAAGCCCAAGTTGTGAAAATACTTCGTGAGAAACTCAATATCAATTGTGATAATTTGGTTTCGGTTTATTTTGTAAATTAGTGCGTTAAAATGAAAATGCGTGTTGTCGGTTCGTGATGCGCAACTAAATTGTTCTCACCCAATTCGGCAGCGAAGAGAATAAGTGTAACGCTGAATGCGTGAAGGAAAATCATATTGGAAGCGTTTCAACAAATGCAAAGCCTTTACTGATTGCCCGGTGTTTTATTTACGAAACAAATATTGAAATAAGATGGTACAGAATGGTGCATCAAGTTTGAATTAGATCAAGATAAAAGCCATTCGTACCAGGATGGAACGGTGGTGGTGTTTGCGGATGGATGCTCTGCGATTTGCCGAAAGTTGTAAGACCGTGAGCGTCGTTTAATTTTATCAACACTGATACTATCGAAAAACACAGCGTAATGTACAAACAATTCATGATGACAATTATTGCAACCGTAACAATTCACAGCCGTGGTAAGAGTGAGAAAAAGAAGTTTAAAAAATGCGATTTCTTTTGGTAAGAAGGGGCGCTTGCGTTAAACCTTTTGCTTACATCATACACGTTACCTGATGTGGTGGTAGGTAGTTCGTATTTTGACGAAGGACATTTTGCAGGCAGAATTGGACAAGTTGGCGCCCCAGATTGCCGAAAGTCACGCAATTCATTACGTCATAATCCTTAGTCCTTACACACCTCTCCCCCGACCGCACTTTCTTATCGGGCAAAAGGAAGTAAGATGTTTCCCGTAATATATTTCTCGCCAAATCTCATTACTTTTGATTTAATCAAAGGTCAAGGTGTAAACACCTCCTTTTATAATGTCTCAACTGCAGAATATCATACGTCATCGATCGATAATAGCGTAAACTACAAAAGCCACTTTGCAAATGAAAGTGCATTTATAACAAAAATAACTCGGGCCATAACTTTGGTTAACTCCCAATAACTCAATTTTAGTTTCAATACTTGCTGAATCATCCACATAACCCATTTCTGCAGTTTGGTCTTCCCTATTAAAAAAAAAATTAAATCATCAACGTCATAACTGGAAGACTTCAGTACTCATGCATTTTAATAGGAACTTCTATTTTGTTTTGTCACATACGTAGTTGAATAATTTGGTCAAACGAATTTAAACGTTTTTTTTTTTAATAGGTAACTATTTTATTAATATAAATACTGAACTAAAAAGCCTTCCTATGTTATGCATAAACTGCACATCAGAGGGTTTAAATAAATTATTTTCCACAAATGACAGCGAATTGTGTACCGGTTTTCAATTTATTTATCTGCTAAACACAATTGGATTACTGTTGTTAATATTTATTGAATTTAATTTCCGATTATCCTGCAGGAATACGTAGAAGTTGATTTAAAAACTAATTGGTTGCCAATCTATTTTTCAATTTCACCCAGCTTTTTCCATTATTTCGACTTCTATTGGCACAGTTTTTCCTTGTTTTATTGAATTTTCATATAATGAATGTAGAATGTTAAAGAAAATTTAATTGTATCGAAACTACTTGTCAAACGGTTTGTACAATTAATTCAGACTTCTATAGCTTGCCATATGTACATCTACAAATGTTGGTCAATTTGAATATTAAAGAATAGAGATGACATATGAGTTAGAACTACATCAATAATTGCCTTCCGTTGTGTGACACCTGAGAAATTACCGGCCACTTTGCAAGGTCCAAAGAACTCGAACCGAAATACACCACCAAGGTGACACATAAGGTCATTTTGATTTTCTATTCACAACAGTTGTAATTTAGGAATATTGGCCAAAACTTGTAACACCTCATCTTACACTTTAATATATGGTTACGTTAGGTTTTGATTAGGTTTTTTATTTCCTTGTGGATTGTAAAGGTCTTTATTGTAACGTAGAGTTGGATTCAAACATGACGGTGTCTTCGGAAGTTGTTTGAACATTAAATTCATCTGGTTCCTTTCTGGTAGGTTGTGTTTGAAAATATTTTATGGCAGGTATGTAATAAAACTGCATATTACTTATTGTTATATTAACTCCAATCTTTGAAAGAATAAGTGAGTTTATCGTATTGTAGAAATTGCGTAATTATATAGTGCTTCGTATAGGTCGCTGATATGCGTGTTCAACGACCGCAGTATAAGGGTGTTATCAGGTTTAATTCCGAAGCATTTGCATGACACCCACGACTTACCGTTACTTTCGATGCCAACATTTATCAAATTATATTTCAAGGTCAATTATACTGCATCCTTATCATAATACCGGAGTGGACGGTGTCCAACATTAAATGCATTCAATTATGCACTTTAAAGCGTTTGCCTTACTTGTTAAGAACTTATTAATTCCAAAAGTCGATTTTACTAACGTGCCACCA